CAGCGATGATTGCTGATCCTTGTCTACGTGTGAGATCTGAGGAATAAATGGCTGTTACTTCTATCTGACCTTTGCAGAGCAGGTCATGAGTTAAGCTGTCCATCTTCCTGTTCCCTTTAGTCTACGCCTGCAGGGAAAACCTCAAACTCACTTAGCTCTCTGTTGTGCAAATGACTGCTCTCATATTTATGGAGGTATGTATTTAAACTAGTTAATAGCTGGACTTTATTCTATTTTTAATTCATTTGATTTTTTGCCATTTGATGCGACATACTATATCATGTGCTTTCATACTTGGCCTTATTGGGAACTGAGCCAAACTGAACTCAGGAAATTGAACTTAGTGAAACTGGAAACTACAGGAGGTGCTGAGAGGAGGGTGACTGACTCCAGTGGGATGTTCTGAAGTGGAAGAAGAAAAGGTTATTTGTATTCCCTGCACAGATTTATATACAGTTCTGATTAAATATTGTGCATTAGCAAACGTTTTAATTGTTTCAGTTCAAAAAATTATTTATTCACCTCACTTACCTTTACTGTCTTGGAATAGACCTACCTCTACCTTATCCACCCCATCATCAGTCATTCTGCCCCCACTCCCTGGAACACACCCCAGTGACCTTCGACGTGTCCCCTTCCTCCTCCTTTCAAAGCCTGTGTTTACGGTCATCTTTTCTCCCCTCCCCCACCCTCCAGATCCCCCCACTCCTGGCTTGGGTGCTCAGCCAGCTGTGTAAAGTCCTTTGAGGCGTCATCCTGCCATGAAAGGCGCTATATAAATGTAAATTGTATTCTATTGTAGTTCCAAATAGGTGATGTTGGCAATAATTTCTCTTCACAAGAACTTCCTTGGCTTCCCTTTTTGACAGGGAATTTATCTATTTATTATTCCTCATTGACACCAGGTATGATGACATGTTTTTGCAATCAGATAATGTTCTTTTCCTCAATTTTCTGTTTGGACACAACTGGAATCCTCTTTTCTTCCATTATCTCAACTTTGGGGACAAGAGACAAATTATGGTTTAACTGAGAATGGGGTAAACAAGATAGTATAAACAACCTTTGTCATTGCAGTCTAATCTTCCTGTTCTTTTGTCCCAATCCAAGTTTCCATTAAAGTCAAGGTGGGAATTCAAGCCCAATAAAATGAACCCTAATAAGAAAAACTATATTGTATCTGTCCCCAGGTAATCATAATAAGAACATTCATGTGTATGTGAGTTGTTTAGGTGAATGTGAGCTCGGATGAAATTGCTGGAACTGGTTAGTTCTAACTGAAGGAAAGCTGCAGTAACACAAAAGCATCAAAACCATAGTGCACAACTGACTGGTAAGAGTAGCCAGCTGCTGTTTTCATCAACTTTACATGCAGAGGACAAAGACACAGTTAATTTCATTTACTGTTCTTTTCTCCAGCGTGAAATAAGCAGGGACAAGTTAAAGGCTGTGGAATGGGAGCTACTTATCTGACCTCCTTTGTATGAACTATTTCTATGAGGTACAAGTTTGTACCATTTATTTGAAATATGATATGACATGTATAAACCGATATGAGTCTGGTATTATTACGCTTAAATTGTTTTTTAAAAAAATTAAATGACGTCCTTTTAGATGTTAAAGATGTAGTATTACTGCATTATACTACATCACAGCAGATGATGTATAAATATTCTTCTTCCTATTTTCTCTTTCAGTTCACTTACTTCACACTCTATTCCCTACCCAAACGGCAGGAAATCATTGCTGAAACTTTGCCAATTGTGTAGATGTTTGCCCACAAAATATACGGTCACTACACGTTATAGTAAATACAGTACTGTGAAGCGCTTTGAGACATCCTCCCAACTATATCAAATCCAAGGATTCATTAACAATTAATTTAATTATATTCTTTAATCTGCACGAGGAAAGAAGGAAAAAATTGCATTGTTATAGGATCCATCTTTCGGCTGAGTCGTTAAGCCGAAGTCCTGTTCTGCCTGCTCAGGTTGATGTTACCGATCCCATGACACTATTTGAAAAGAGAGAGGAGTTTCTCCAAGTGTCCTGGCCAACAATCACACAAATAAAGTTAAGTTGGTCACTCACTCCAAAGCTGTGGGACACTGCTGTTCGCAAACTGGCTGCCGTGTTTCGCCCACAAAATACAGAATCAATCCACTTTACAGTATATCCTGTGAAGCGCTTTGGGATGTCTCAACAACGTGCTAAGGCGCTATATCAAAATTATATTGCAACAACAACAAAATTACATTTGCATAGCGCCTTTCACGTCGGGAGGACAATCAGTGTTTCAGACCTGAGCTGGGGGTCGGGATTGGGGAGGGTGGAGAGCAGGGGAGGATGGAGGGTGATTGAAGAGGAGGGGGTCAAGAGGGGTCTTGAAGGAGGCAAGGTTGGGGGGCAAGGTGGAGGGACTGCAAGATGGAGTTCCAGAAGGTGGGGGTAGAGTGGCTGAAGGCCCGCCTGCCAACAGTGGGGCAGGCGAGGCGCTGGACATGAAGCAGGACGGAGCCCGCTGAGCAGAGGGAGCAGGCAGCATGGTAAGGGGTTAGGAGTTCACAGAGGATGGGGGAAGCGAGGCCATGGAGGCCTTTGAAGGTGAGGACCAGGATCTTGAACTGTATCCTCTGTATTGCAAGGATTATAACACAAGGATTATTATTATTATAGGTAATTACTGTCAGTGGAATGACTATTTTTGAAGGCAAACTCCATAGTTATTGTCACAAAGAGCCATGAGTTGAATGACCGATTTACCTGGAGGATCAGGACAACATACTGGCAGAAACTTCCTTTTCTAATTATAATTGTAATAATAATCGTTGCATTTAACATGGCACTTTATCACATTATCGAGATGTCTCAAAGCACTTCACAGGATTTTACTGTAAGTTTAATGTATTATGCCGTGGTATCTTAATATCCCCTTGAAGTAAGAGACTGTCTCTTGGTTCATCTCATCCTAAGGATGGCGCCTCTGGCAGTGTTACACTAGTATGTCAGCCTACACTATTAGCTGAAATGTCAACTTAAGCCTTGAACCTTCAGACCCAGACCACACGAGCGCTACCAACTGAACCAAGCTGCAGGATAATTTGCATGAAAACAATTCTCACTGACTTATTGCTTCCCTCCTTGAATCAGGGCAATTAACCCAGTTCTACTCAGTCTTTAGTTATCTTACTCAATGTGTCGGGAATCGCAAATGCCCTAACTTATGTCTGTGATACAACTCAATCCAAATAAAGGGTTTGTTAATAAGCTTCTTTATTTATCAATCCAAACACTTATAAGTCCACCACTCTGAATCACACACTTTGGCCCACTCCCAGTGTCCTCTTGTACTTCCTGCCCTTCTGCTTATGGGCCCTTTTGTTAATTATCAATTTACTCTTAAAGGAGTACCCTAACACTGTCCTACTGTACTGCAGCGCAGGCTGATTGTACGTGAATGCACAGCAACACTTAATAATTTCACTTCTATCCGTAACCTCTGGGAATGTTTTCTTGAAATGCTCAACAAATTGCCAATGCAGAAATTATTCAACTATGCGACTGTTATCTGTTTTTTTTCCAAGATGATTTCTTCGACTTGATTACATCTCAAAGATTCAGTGTAAATAGTGCCTCAGTGAGTGTCATGTCTTTGAGAAGGCGGTTTTATACAGTGTCTTTGTTTGCAAGGAAACCATAAATAATGGAGGGGATTTATGACACTTCATGATAGATTCAACGTGGTATCACTAAATGTGTGTTATATTTAGGGTTTTTTCCCCCTGTATTTCAGGGTGTCATGGTGAGCAGAAAGTTTGCAGCGCTTTACTGCTGCTGATAGTGCCAATGGTTTACTGTATTGCTACAGTAATAGTGCAAAAATACAGGGTTTTGTTTGGTTTTAGTTTAGAGGGAAATAAGTTATTGAATTTTTAAAAAAATTGTAATAAATGGTGCAATCTTTCACTTTGAGAAATAATGTAACTCTAAAACAGCAATCGTATTAGGAAGAAGTGTAAATAATATATTCAGCAACAATAGGAATGTCTGGTAAAAAATGTCTGCTTTTTTTTATTTCTATTCACCCCTTCCCCCTCTCCATTCATACTTTCCCCTGTGCTGTGAGGTTCTGAACTCAGCAATCTGCTGACGGTGCCAAATGGAGAAGAGATGTTTCACTATAGGAAACAAAGGAAAATTGAAGAATATCTGGTCTGATCTGATGTGTATTTCAATAATCAGAGTATCATTGGCAGAGGGCTGTCTGTCTTGCCACTCACTCAAATTGAAAAGGCGGCAACATAAAAATAATAATAATAATCTTTGCATTTGATAAAGCGCATAATCACTCCATTGAGATATCTCAAAGCTCTTCACAGGATATAATGTAAAGTGGATTGACTGTGTATTTTGTGGGCGAAACGCGAAAGCCAGTTGCGTACAGCAATGTTCCACAAACAGCCATGGAGTGAGTGGCCAAATTTTAACGCATTGGATGAAGAGGAAATAAAAAGGGGAGAGAATAAAGTAAGATTTTAAAAAAAACTTGCATTTATATAGCCCTTCACACAGAGTGGCATTTCTGAGCTCTTTAAAAAAAATGTTGGAACTAAATCAGACATCTTTGACTTGTTTTTCTTTATTCATTTACAACATTTATTATTATACGGTTACAAATAACTGTGCATATTGTAGCAAAATATTATATTGCTAGATAACAGATTTAGTTCCAAGCACCTCACACCATGGTGCTTTGGCATTATTGATTGAAAGCATTCAGTAATAAATACATTAAATTCAGAACTGGGTTGGTTTAAAACACCCACATATCATTCTACAATCATCTTTTATTAAATAAATCTGGTTTAAAATAAAAATGAACCACTGGCAAATAATATAACTTTAAAACTCTTTGGATAGTTCAACACAATAAAGTTTTTTTGCCAAAATATTATATCAGTATAATTTAAGTTAATTTAATAAAATTAATATAGGTTTAAGAAAAAAATGCAAACAAAAATGTATTGTCAAATGGTCAGAATATTTACAGAACAAAGTCCATATACAGTAAGATCATTCTTCTGGTCTTACCTTGCAAAGTTTAAATCAAACTGTAACTCATTTTGATCACCAGCACAGATCAGTTGGTCACACACATATTGTGAAATACTAATTCTATGGAACAGAAGCTCTGCCTCTGTAAAGCCTTTGCACACAAACCACGGTCTCACTTTCTCCACGACATACCATATGACAAGGTCGGATTTAGCAGTTATACCTGTTCGTTAAAAAATACATTTAGTTTACATTAATACCCTTCCTTTGAAACACAATATTGTAAAATATTTTTTACACGTCTTACAGCATAGTAAAGATTAACAGATCCAGGTATTATTATAATTGTAACCACAGAATGCATTACACACACACATATGCAGAATGAAATACTACTGTTACAAGCTGTTGTAGAAAATTCTCCAGTTCCCAAGATACCTTCACTATAGTCTCCTAGAGGAGCTCAGACCTCAGTCAGGACAACTATCTAGATATTCCCTGCTAGTTTCTAGTAACGAACTTTGATAGCTTTGAACTGAAATGATGGCCACGGCTGTTGGATAAGAGAAACATTTCTTGCACTATTTTGCCTACTAATCTATATCAGTGCCTATTTCACAAGAGATAGGAATTCAAAGTGTGCAACGTTACGTGGAAACGGTCGCCCAGAAAAATAGTCACATGAGCGGTTGGGATGAAGAGGACCCTTCGGCCTTTTCAATCTCATCGTTTCAGAAGATTTACCTTCCCATCATACCATCAGCTGTGGTTTTAATGAGTCCAGGTGTAATGAGAAAACACTGGCTACAATGTTTAAGATAGTAAACTGTTGCCCTCTTTGAGTGACAGAAAAATTTTCAATAGTAATTTTATCCTCTGCTTAATTGTGTGCAAATGCAGCTCTCAACTGCATCTCTACACTGAGTAATAAAGGTACGGGGATAAGGTGGGGCAGTGAGATTGGATTGATCTCATTGCTCCGTGAGCCGGTGTGGACTCGATGGGCCGAATGACCTCCTTGTGGGTAGTTGATTTCTATGTTGCTAAGCAGCACAGCCCCACATCAGAAATAAGATGTCGGGCTTACTGCCAACCATGCTCTATGTTGTGCTCTTTCCGCTAAAGCTTTGCAGAAATCAAAATGTTAGGGCGACTCAATGTTTCACTCGGGCCAGTAAAAGAGACTAAGCGGAGGAATAGCCACACACACACACATACACACATAGGGGTATGACTCTGTACGGAGACACGTGCTCACGTTTAACCCAGGGCACAAACTATAAAACGTGTAAGTTTTTGAACAAAGCAAACTGATTGAGATATATGATGGTTGGGGCCACGGTGTTATCAGCTGATTCTGAATGTTCCTCGAATGAGCTGCCGGGGCTCACCGACCCCTCGATACAGCCACTGCAGCCTGAAGCTGGCGATGGAGCATTGCTGTCACCCACTGGTGTCCTCTCGCTTGTGGACTGCAGACGACAGTTTCTGGGAAAGATCCAGATTTGCTGAAGTCTGCTGTCTCTTGGTCTATGCCCTGATCTTTAAGCAGCTTGACTAGAAAGTCGATATATTTCATCGCCAACCGAAGGATTTCGTTTTTGCTCAGCTTCTTGTCTGGAGGGTGGGTCGGGACAAGTTTTCTCAGCTCAGCAAAGGCGCTGTTTACGTTCTGCTGCCTCCACCTCTCTCTGGTGTTTGTAAAGACCTTTCTGGTCATCTTCTGTGGTATCCCTGTAATGTGGCAAAACACGAACAATCTAAGCTCAGGTCATTTCAGGACTTTACCTATTATGTGATTACAACCCATTCTCTCTTTTTCTCAGGTATCTAGTGTTTCAGATTAAGTCAGCTTCCAGTTTTTGTTTGCTGAAGCATTTCAGCATTTTGTGGCAGAAGGAACAATGGTAATAATTAAGGATTGTGGTATTTTTTTGAATGCATTTTGTTGTATATTATGTCATAATATTATTATATTTTATATGTAAAAAAATGCTTTTTAACAAATGACTAGTTTTGCTTACTGTAACCTAGTGATCTTGTTTATTGATCAATGGACAATACTCCCCAACAGAGATCTGCTCTGTAAGAATACATTTTACAGATATTAGCTGAATTATTAAAGAGCCTTTTTTTTACAATTCTCTTTATCACTGTAGACATTCCGAGATAACTGTTTACAGGTGCTTAAGGTTTCTGAAGGTGACGATTTGCTTGCTAATCTCTGTCCTCTGTTCTAGTAGGGAGTCTGGTAAGATCAACCACTGTAACTATTATAACTTATCTGATGTTTATATCCCCCTCCCCGCTCAAAAATATCACTTATATTTAATGGATGTCTCTGAAGACGGAGTCTATGATTGTATAATGTTCAAAATCAACAAAATCAATCTATTTTTTTTCAAAAAACTAAAATGCTGTATATATAAATATTTATTTATGAAAAAAATTGAAAATGTTCAATCAATCCCAAAACTGACAGTGCATTGAAAGAAAATGTCATTGTTGAAAATTCCAGTTGAAAATTGTATGACAGAAGTATTTGCGATGGCAACCTTTGACACTTGCAGAATGTGAGGCTGTATCTATTTATACATCTATTTATTTATAATAATAATCTTATAATAATAATCCTTACATTTGATGTAGATCCTTATCACATTGTTGAGACGTCTCAAAGTGCTTCACAGAATATACCTTAAAGTGAATTGACTGTATATATTGAGGGCGAAATGTATATATGCAACTGCCGTGTTTTGCCCACAAAATAGTCAATCCACTTTACAGTGTTTTCTGTGAAGCGTTTTGAGACTCTTAATGATGTGATAAGACCCTATATCAAATGCAAGGATTAGTATCATTATTATCTGGTGCACTAACCATTATTTATTCCTCTGTCTGAGACATGTATGATACAGGAGCATGGAATAATTACACTTAGAATAAGGAAATGTGTTGGATAAGTTACTGTTGGTTTGAGGGGACAGCCATGACATCAGGAAGTGATTCTCAGCATCTCTAATACATTCCCTGAAGCATTGTTGTTTTGTGCAATCATGAACAGAACCAAATTCATTCCCTCCACGACTTCATTTGTGGAAGCATTTCAGGGTGAGTAGATCGCACAGGTGATGAGCCGGTGGGTAGTTAAAGGTAACAGAGATGCAACATCACAATGTAATAGACAACTGAGAGTCTCATAATGGGAAAAAAATCAGTATTCTTGCAATAAGATCTTTACGGCAATAAAATGATCAGAAAATACAGTGGTGTGCTGTACCTTGCATATACTGTCACCATCAAATACATCAAGATTGAATATAACAATGTCCCGACCACAGAATGGTGGTGTAAGTTTAAACAGTTAATGGTACGACAAGATAATTAACCCAAAATTATCCTGACTGCATCATTTGATTACTTATTTAATCGAAAAATAAATAATCCAGAGCAAGAAAAATTGGCATTTTTTGTCTTAAAAAAAATCTTGGCCATAGGCAAGACAAAAGAGAAGAAACCAAGTTATAGGGACCTATCTGGTAAGGTATGATATTACTGCGTTTACACTTATGCTGAACACTCATGGGGTCCACATTCCTACCCTATACCCTATACTTGCAATGCATTTTGTCGATATTAACAAAATTACCATCTGAATTCAAAATGATCCCTTACCTGTTTCACGAAAGTGCTGGGACGTCAACGGTTTGTATCAGGAATATGCGTGAAGGGAGGAGAAGCCACTGAAAGGTCCGAGTCTGTGAGCTGTATGGTTTTTGTGAGCTGCTAAGACCGAGATACCCAGATCCTCTGCAGATTCGTGCTATGGGTTTGAGGGGGTTCCTGTCATTTATAGTGTGGCTGTGCCTTTGTTTGACGTGTGTCACTACTTTGTGCTACAAGTGAATTTATTTCTGTCTCCTTGGAGACTCCTGGTACAATGCTTCAGGCACCCTTCCCATTCTTTGACATCTTGTTCCTTCTATTAAAAAGCACGGTGTCCCATTTTCATCACATCTACTTCAGTGTGTGTCATTTAGCCTGAAAAGGCGAGTGATATTTTTGAAGTATTTTTAAAAGAAGAGGACAAGCTATTTGAATAACATTATCCTGTGTTTCGATGTATTTAAAATATTCCCACATTTATAGCATCAGAGAAGAGAAATTTAGAAGACTAAACATGTATTGTGGGTCTGTTTTATTTTTATTTAATTTTATGGTCCTGGAATTTAACCCCCGAATGGGGCTATAGAAATGACTGAGCATTTTGTGAGGCTTCAAGCTTCTTGCGCATCGACTTCATAATGTGCAGTGAAAATAATGGAATGGTTATAGAAAAACATGCTTTTGATTTCATTCTGATAAAATAATACACTGCGGATGAGAATCATTGCACAAAAGTGAAAATGTTAACCTGTAAGTTAATACGCTTAACATGTTATTTAGTTGATGAGAACAGAACAAGCAGAAACCAGTGCTGGCAGAGTTAAGGAGAAATATGTTGCAATTTGTTTTAGGTGTACATAATAAATCAAAATTCACCTCCATTTTCTGTGTATACTGACATTGTTTATAATTTATGCTGTTATTATTTTTTTCCCCTCAAGTGCTTTGTTTCAAAGTGACAGACTCGCTATGGTGTTTCACTTTGTGGAGTATGAATTTACATAATCCGATTACAGGGATTATCATGTGTCTGCAAAACTGCCCCAATGGGTTTGAGTAAAAATCCTTACTATTCATTGCACTCTCTGCCCTGCAAAGGACTGCACCTGCAATTCTGGCTGACACTCTTTCAGGACTCTAGTAGGATCTAAAATTTACAAAAACTGCTTCATGTATGCATCGCCTTTAATTGATCCATCTGGATTAATCTTGAGGAGACTGAAAACGAACGTTTGGATGCTCAGTATTATCTAAAGGGTCATCGGATTCTTAAAAGGGCTAACTTGCATCGTTCCTCAGTATTTTCCATTCTGATGGTTTGTATTGTCTAACACCAACTCAGCGGCCACAACAGTGCTGAGAGGAATCATTTTGGCTCATTCAGTTTACTTTACTTTTAAAGTTTCAGAGGTAAATGACTTCAATCAGGCAGCAGGTCGGTTCTCACAATAAATCTAGTTTAAAGGCACAGTGTGAGGGCTCAAACTCTAATTAATCCTTCCAGCACATTGCAGAGGGCAAATTAGCTTAGACAAATGTTTACATTTTCTGAGGAATTGCCTCCATTGAGTCTTAAATGACTAATTATTAGTAAACTATCTTTATTTGTTTGCTGACAATGGGAAAAGTGCCACTTTATATAAAAAATACATACGATTACTTTAAACGTCAGAGAAAATAACCGGTAAGACGAACGAATGCGAGTTATTTTTTTCACATAAACACTTGGAGTTGTGCAGTTTGCAGCCATTGTGAGACAAGACCTTTGATATTCCATTCAGAGTGGAGAGGGGATCATTCCAGTAAGCTGGCCACTGCAGATAAGACTTTTACAGGCTCTGGAAGGACATGATAAGGAAAGCTGCAATTATTAATCAAGGATTAATTGTTAAGCAGTCAGTAAAAAGATATAGTGGAAGGTTTATCTGTTCAACTGCAAGACTTTAACTGTTTTGCATTCTAAAACAGATACAACATTGATTTAGTGCTTTTACATGCACATAACAGTATTCACAGCTCAGAGGCGAGATGAATTTGGCACCACTCCTAGCGATAATGTGACGCTGTTCAAGCCTCCATCATCTGTAAATGTGGAGCTGAAAAACAAAATGAACAAAAGATTGAAACTGCATTTGGGTTTTGATTTGCACTACATTTATTAATTAATGTTATTATTTTGTAGTTGGATTTAGAAGTTTTGGTTCAGTAGTTCATCGTTTTTTTACACCCAAATAATTCTTAACGCAATGTAGGTCAAAATTTTTTTAATTAAAAATTCAAAGAAAAAATCCTTGCTGGATGCAGGAATCTTATTTTTCCCCTTGCTCTCTTTACTTCATTTGGAGAATCGGCAAGAGCTGACAAGCTGGGTACCATGCAATCATTCCTATTCACTTCAATTTGTCCACACAGTCTCACAGAAAGACAGTGATCTCTTTGAAAAATTGATTGCAAGCAAACAATGAAGCTGATCACTCAATCCTGGTTATGATCTGAAACAATGCAGGTGATATAAAAAAGATTAATGACCATTGGGTAATGCTGCAAAGTAGCAGAATTCTGTGTTGTAGGAAGGAATTGGACTGAATCTGGTGTTGATAAATAATATAATAATCCTTGCATTTGATATAGCGCCTTATCAAATCTTCGAGGCATCTCAAAGAGCTTCACAGAATATACTGTAAAGTGAATCGACTGTATATCTTGTGGGCAAAATGCGACAGCCAATTACGCAGAGCAGTGTCCCACAAACATTCATGGATTGAGTAACCAAATTATTATTATTCCTTTATTTTTTTTTGAAGGAATTATTACCCCCAGAAAAGCAATCCGCCAATCAAATAACAATAGAGTTCCTACTTACTGCTAGGTAACAGAGGCGTGTGAAGAGAACAATATCTGTAGTATGATGTCTGTGGTTTGGGGCTAGGGTTGGGGGATTCTTGACTCTGGTTGGCTTAAATAGTGGTGCAGCACAATCATTAATTATTATAACAACAGCTTGCATTTATGTAACACTCTTCAAACAGGTTAGAGTCTTGGGGTGCTTAACAGTGGTGGAGCCTAAAGCTGAGCTGGGGAAGGTGAGCATAGGCACAGTTGTAGAAGAAGGTCTTCAGGCATGATCTGAAAATGGGGCAGGAGGAAGCAAAGCAGAGGGAATCAGGCAGAGTTCCAAAGTTTCGGGGCAAAGTAGCTGAATACACGGATGCTGATGGTGAAGCAGAGGGGTTGAGGGATAAGGTAGGAAGATGCCAGGGAATGAGAGGGTTTATAAACAAGTTTGAGGATCTTGAAATCTATCCGTTCTGTGAAAGGGAGCTAGTGGAACCTGGCAAGGACTGCTGTGATGGGGCTACAGAGTTTAGTGCGGGTGAGCAAACGGGCATACTGGATTTTGTGGATAGGAGAGCTGAGGAGATTGGGGAGGAAGGCTTTGGAATAATTGAGGCGAGGGATGATGAAAGCTTGAATGACGGTTTTGACTGCGTCAGAGACAGCTATTGGTGGAGGAAAGCTGTCCTGGTCAGAGATGGGATACGGGTAGGAAGGAAAGCTGGAGATCGAACCTGACGCCTGGGTTATGTACAGGTTCAGCAAATCTAAGGGATATGCCAGAGAAGTTGAGAAGGTCAGAATTGCAGGAGTGAAAACGTTGACGGGATCCAAGGAGTATGGTCTCTGGCTTGTCAACATTCAACTGCAGGAAGTTTGCGCTCACATCAGCCTTGATGTCAGACAAGCTAACAGAATATCAGTGAACCTGGAGTCGCAGCCGGAGGAGGGGAAGTATATGTGGGTGTCATCTGATTGCATGTGTAAGTTGACCCCGTGTTTGCGGATAACAGACATGGATTGATGGACAATAATTAATTTCATTATTAATTATAAGATATCAATGAGATGGATGAACATTCTGATTTGCTTCATTATGTACGGTTCGGAGTCCTGTAGCTCAGTGGTGAGAGCACTCGCTTTGCAAGCGAGAGACCTGAGTTCAATTCCAGGCAGGTCAGGGCGAAACCTTGGGCAAGTTTCCTTACTCCACACATCTAATAATAATCCCTCCACAAATATACAGTCAATTCACTTTACAGTGTGTTCTGTGAAGCGCTTTGGGACGTCCTCCCGACGTGAAAAGCGCTATATCAAATGCAAGGATTATTATTATTATTATTATAATGTGGAAGTATCTGTACAGATCTTTTCTCCAAGAGATGGAGTGAGTCGTGTGAAGTCTTTGATAGGTTTGGTCATCCACTGGAGCTAACTACTCGAATATCAAGTGCGCGACATGCTGCTCTGTCATATTTATGACAACATACAATTTGTTATTAAGAACTAGAATTCATATAATGCCTTTCACATAGGATAATGTCTCAAGTTACTTCACAGAGAAAGTGGTGAAATCCAAACATGGTAGTAAGAGGGAGGTGCCAAAAAGGATGGTCAAACAGGCTGGTTTTTCGAATGGGTTATAAGATAGGGTACAGGATGAATGTTATCCTTGCCTTGCTGCAGACCGGCTGGAGGTGTTGGGGAAGGAGCTGAAAACTGTTTGGTGAACAATCCCACTCCTGACTTTATGGTAAAGGGGTGTCATTTAATACAATATTGCTGGATCAATTGAAATTTCAAGATTCAGGTGGATACATTTTTGGATATATTTTTGTTAGGTAACAGTATCAAAGGATATGGACAAAGGCGGGTAAATGGAGTTAAGGTACAGATCAGCCATGGTCTAATATTCCTATTGCTGTGCTCCCTATGTTAACTGAAGATGGTTGTTCCAAGGACACTGACTGAGGAACTCCTGCAACGATGTGCTGGGGATATGATGATTGTCCTCCAACAATCAACAACATATTTTACTGTGTGAAAGGTATGAACCAGCCACTGAAGCTTTTATCTCTGAGTTCCATTGACCTAATACTCCATGGTGCCAGATTTGGTCACACATTGCTTGGATGTCGAGGGCAGTTACTTTCTCCACTGCTGTGGTGTTGGGTTCCTGCACCCATGTCTGGGTGATGAGGGATGTGATGAGATCTGGTGTTGAATAGTTCTGACAGAACCTGAACTGAGCATCTGTGAGCAGGTCATCAGCTAATAAGTGCTTCTTGATGGCACTACTGACGACTCCTTCAGTCACTTTGCTGATGATTGGG